TGTGGGGCTGAAAGATCACCTGCACAAAGTAGAGAGTGAAGACCAGGATGCCACACCAGCTGTGCAAGCTGTACAGGTCAGTGTAGCCCTTCTTCCGGTGGTAGTCAAACACCGCCACCAGGCCTGGAGCAGAGACAGGGGCCAAGTGAGGACAGGCTGATGGGGGAGGGAGTGAGGGAGGTGAGCCAAGAGAAACCTAACTAGCTGGGACTTCTGGGCTCGGTCCCAGCACCCAGTGTCCCCACCGGGATGCCTGGAAGGCGGGGAGAGAAGGCTGTGCCAGGAACTCACCCACCAGCGCGATGATGAAGGCGAAGCCATGCAGCAGCCCATGCAGGACTTTGGTTGTGCGCTTGGCCTCGTTCCTGAAGACGCGGTAAACCAACAGGGCTACGGAGTGAGAAAGGGAGAGGGCCCTCTCACCGAGCGCCAGGCCTCCCTGCCAGGGCAGCAGGAGACACACCTCGGCTGGGAGGTGATCTGGGTCAAAGGCTTGTCCTGGTCCCCCAGGGACCAGCCGGGGCCCTCAGACCATGTGTGCCCCACCCAACCAACAGCTGGGCCTCCTCTCTGTGAAGCACACACAACCTTGGGTGCTCCTTATTGAAGCAGGAGGTGAAAGAGCTGGGACAAGTTGGAAAGAAGGCGCCAACCACCAACATCAGGGAGCCTGTTTGGATTCCCAGTGTCCCCAGGCTCCAAGCCAACTTCCTTCTTTGACTGTCTTTTCTAGAATCTTAGCTCTAACAGCAAGAGACCTCAGGGGTGATCGGGTCACAGAACACTTCTTTCAGGAGGTGCTCCAGGGAGCTCAGGACTCACCATCTCCCTGCAGGAAGACCAGGCCTATGACCATGCAGAGGGAGTGCACGTTAAACTGCAGGGCGCTCTCCCAGGCAATGCCTCCCCGGTACAGACCGAGCCAGGCCCCAGTCACAGCCACCACAGTCAGGCCCAGCAGCTGGGAGAAAGCCACGCAGCAGGGCAGCCCTCCCAAGCTGGGGCTGGGGCTGGCGCGGCTCTCCATGCTGAGGCGTTGGCTGCAGGGAAGACAAGAGGTCAGAGGGGTCACCCACAACCTCCAAATGACATAGCCAAGGTCCCCCAAGGCCCGCCCCTGCCACCTCCCTCTCCACCTGGCTGCCCTACTTGGAGATGCCCGAGTTCCACATGCAAAGATGGTGCAAGTAAAGGTCCTACAAATTCTGGGGAGAGCAGGAGGGCCCCATCCTGTGCTTTACTTTGCTTCCTGAGGTCCAGGGTTTTCTCAGGTGGGGTTCACAGGGGAAATACAAAGAAGTGAGCAAATCCCTTAAAGGTACAGGGTTAGTCATGTCTTTTTCTTCCAGGTGCATCATCTTGCCCACCCCCAGGCCAGGCCACAGCCCCGGAAAAGTGCTCAGACCCCTATGCCTGGTGGGCCTGGGGGACAGGAGCAGCCAGCAGCCTTTCTCCCTTCCCGCCTCTTCCCCCTCCCACCTAGGGCATGGTGGACCTGCACTCCTCCCTCAGGTAAGGTTTCCAAAACTGAAGGCCCCAGAAATGAGAGACCTGGGAGGTGAGGCCCACTGTCAGAACTCACGGGTGTTCCATGCACATCACTGAACTCATAGCATCCAGTAAGAGAGTAGGTGTGTCACTGTCTCCATTTCAGACAGGGAAACGGCAGCTCGGGGGTGGGGAAAGCCTTGCTCTGGGGGCCTCAAGGGGGTGTTTCCTGGCTCCTCTACCTAGTCCCCCCGGACCCTGTGTTTCCACAGCCTCACCCGGGTCATGATGGCCTCGTGCCAGCTCTTCACCCGAATCTGCTGGTTCTCCTGACACTGGGCCCAGCCTGGCCTGTACACCCCGGAGATGGGAGGGGAGAGGGAGGTGATGAACAGCACGGCATCCGCTCACTTTACCAAGGTGCTGGCAGAGGGCAGAGCACTCAGCTTCCCCTCCCTAGACGGCTGCCCATGTCCCCACTGGCCTGTCCCCACTGGCCTGGCCTCTCCCAGCAGCAGGGAAAACATCCTGCTTCTCCTTCATTTTTAGCAGAGGGTAACAGCTAAGCAGAGACAAATCTAGGGGTCACCCCTCTAACCAAGCACTCTTTCTATCCTTCCTGCTAAAGACTAGTTCCCAGTCGGCCCAGCCTTGTCCTCCTGGTGACTGGGCTGTCTTCACCCCACTTCTCTGCCATGCTGACAACTGTTGCCAACTCTGCCATTAAAAGGGGAGGGGGTATAATAATTCACACTCCTATAGTAAAATACAGATAAGCAAGAAGAAAACTACAAAAAAATCAGCATTTTGATTTACATCCTTCTAGATTCTTTTTATAGAAAAAAATCACACCAATTCCTAACCGGCTTTTTTTTTTAAAATCCTCACCTGAAGACACGCTTTTATTGATCTCAGAGAGAGAGGGAGGGAGAGAGAGAGCCATCGATATGAGAGAGGAGCATAGATCGGCTGCCTCCCACATGAACCCCAACTGGGGATGGAATCCACGGCCTTTTGGTGCAGGGGATGATGCTCCTACCAACCGAGCGCCCAGCCAGGGCTGACCTGCTTTTTTAACTTAATGAGAGATTGTGCACATCTGTTCACTAGGGAGACTGAGCTGGGCCCCGGCGTTTCACTAAATAGACACTACGTGATCATCTTTGCACACCTGCCTAATGAATTCCTGACTGGAGAAATGGGATCCTGAGGCAAGGGCTGGGGTCTTTTATAGATTTTTGGTACATCCCATGAAATCATCTTTCAGAAACACTCCCATGGTGGGCAGGAAGCCCTGGCCGACAGCCAGCCCCCGTCTGGAACTCTTGCCTCTGTCCTTATTTGTCATCTCTACACTGGTGACTCCTAAACCTAGTGCCAGTTTTGTCCTGCCCCCCAAATTCAAACCCCATTTCTCACTGTCCACTAACCTCTCTACCTGGACAGCCTCAAACACTTCAAACTCAGCCCATCCGAAGTCACACTCCTTTCCTGACCTGCCAAGTGGCCAGTGCACTGTTCTTCTCCTAGTCCCAGCGCAGTCAGGCCACCGAGTCCTGAGGGTTCTCCCCCAGGCCTCTTGCCATCCTGGCCATCTTCACTGTCACCACCCAAGCCAGGGCACAGAGCTTCTGCCCCATCTCTCTACCCTCTGCAGTCTGTCCGACCCAGCACACAAACAGCAGCTCACTCCCAGCCAGTGAAATGCCAGCTCCACACATGATCCTCGCTCGGTCGGTGTCCACCTGCAGCCCAAGTCCACTCGGGAGACTGTCAGTGGTCCCGGCTCTAACAACACAACCTGTGTTATTCCAGCCACCTTATTCCCCTGCCCCTCCTCCACTTCCCCAGCCCACCCTCCCCTATGACCTGAAATGGGCATTGCATTCATCACTGTCCCCTCCATGTCCCCAAGGCTGGCCTGGAGCTCGCTTACCCTTGTTGGTGTCCTGCCCTATGTGCTCCTGCGGGCCTCTCTGCTGAACCCCCGTGAGCTCGGGAAGGCAGGGAGCACGTCACTCTTCCCTGTCCTCGGGGATCTGATGCCTTGCACGACTCCAATGGGAAAACGTACTGAAGAGAAATGCTGTCCTCTCCTTTATTAGATTCACCCCCAGAGAGCCCGGGGCTGTCAGAATCTGATTAGCTCTGAATTAGGAAGGGCAGCAGGGACCTGCTCTGCCTCATGGGCCTGCCACTTCTTCCGGCCAAGTGGGATGAATAGCAAGGACAGAGTGGGAACTCAGGGTGGCAAGGGACTGTCGCCCCAGGACCTCAGAGCCACTCAGTGGTGGGGCTAGTCAGAGCCAGTTTTATTCTCGACCAACTGGTTTCCTAAGGAGACAGGCATGAGACAGGCAGAAATGAGAGTGGAGTGGAGGTGCTGGTGGAGGGGAGATGCGTGCTTGTGTTTACGGGGAGGATGGGACTTCCTGACTAGGGAACCACTACTCTGTCCTCAGCACCTCCCCCATCTTCCCGTTTAATCTTTGAAGTAACACTATGATAATAGTATTATCCCAATTTGAGGGGTGAAATTGGGGCTCAAAAAAGATAAATGACATGCCCAAAATTAGCAGCAGCAGTAGCTGCTCAGCTCCATTGTTCGTTGAGCACTTCCCATATGCCAGACACACTGCTAGAGGCTGGAACCGTAAGGGTGAGTCCCTGCCTTCAAGGTGCTCGAGGATAAGTTGCAGGGCAGGTACAGATTTTAAAGTGAAGGGCGGTAAGAATTCAAGCCACGGGTTAAACTCAGGCCTCCAAGAGCACCTCCCACTATACACAGGGGAGAGCACCTCCCTCCTTGGGTTGATTTTCTGTTTGTGGTGTGACTTTGCTCATTCCAATGCCCAGTCACTAGGATAGAGCTGTGTGCTTTCATCCCGGATCTGAATGGGTGCTTGCCAAGGAAGGTGCTTTGAAGCAGGGCTCCAAGGCAGTCTTTCCCCTCCCACGCCAGTCCTCCCGTGTCGTCCTCATGCCTGGGGGAGCCATGCTCCCAAGGCAGTTTACACCCACATCACATGAGCACTGGTGTCCCCTGTGGGCTCTCTTGGAAGAATGCTGCAGGGCGGGAGCAGAAGGGTAAGACAGGAGGGCAAGATCTTCACGTCAAATGCCCTCCTGGTCCACATGGGCCCCCGGTAACTAGGCATCCAGGAGGAAGCCAGAGATAAAGAACGACCTTTGGAATTATGGAGGCCCATGCTGTATCCCCCGCCCCCTTCCAATTTGAGTGTGATTCTAAGCCCAGGTAGGAGGGGTGTCAGGAAAACTCATACCAAGCAAGACCAGCCTTAGCTCTGGCAGGCCTGTGCCTTGCCACCTACAGGTGACCTCACAGTAAGATCTAAGCATGAAAATCCGGATTTACGAAAAAGACAGGTAACAAGTTGTCCTGTGCTTTATAGACAGTGAGTTGAAAGATTCCTTCAGCAACGGCATTTCCCCTTTATTTATTTGGTTCAACAAAACTGTCAACTAATCTTTGCTGAAGGAGGGGCTGCTTCTGATGCTGGGGCATCAGAGGAGACATTTCAATGAGGCTGGATGGAACCCAACCTACCCACAAACACGTCTGCATTTGAAACCTTGAAGTCATTTGAGATGCGCTCCCTAGTAAGCAAATGTCTTAGGCTCCTGCTCTTTCACTGCCCAGTCTGGACAGCAAGAACACTCTCTTGCCCTTCCTTCCTAACTGGGTTGACCCCCCAGAACTCTGGCCATTCTTGGGCCTCCTGTGTTCCCAGAGTGGAAATATGGACAGCAGCTTCAAGGGCCTGGAGGCAGACACTCTCCATCCCAAAAGTTCCCTTTGCCCAGGAGACAAGTCTTGAAACCAGAGGGGGCTCATGTGGCACCTCATATGGCCACTGTCCTTCCTCTATCCAAGCATAAGTTATGGGTGACAGATCTCTGGCAGCTCCTGGAACAGTCACTCCTCCCCTCCCACACCCACCAGAGTCAGACTCCACTTAATGAAATCAACAGGGACAAGAGCCACCCGCAGGGCTGGAACGTGCTGGGCATCACGCTCCCTCTCCATGCCCACTGTTTCATTAAAAGATCATCGGGCCTAATCTCATTGTGGGGACCAGACACTGCACAAGTCCTACAGCTTGGCTACTGCCCTCCTTATCAACAGCAGGAGTTTAATTGAGTTAGAATAGATTGTGTTGGGGGTGGGGCTAGATCCTTTCTTGATGGGTAAGGGGGGGGGAGCCCAATTGCCCTAGAATGTCCTAGAATATGCTGAAAGAGGCAAAAATGAGGACTGAGCTGCTAGGCAGGGCACTTTCTTACTACCCTACATCCCAGTAGCCCCAGGAAGAAGGCAGAGCTGGAAGGCAGACACTGAGCCCAGTTCTCCATTAGGTATAGGAGACTAGTGCCAGGGCTCCCATTACTTGTAGGGCTCCCCCCTAAAAAAGTTTTAATTTCTGTTAAAATCAGGAGAAAAAATAAAATTGGGGGGTTGAAGAAAACGTTTTAATTTTTAATCCAGCCTAGATTATATTTGTCTTTAGACCAACACAGTCATAAAATATCATATTTATTGTCATTTTTATGGAGGAAGAGGTCCACGAAGGCAAAAGTGCCCAGGGGCCATGCAAGTCACAGGGCAGCCCTGGTCAGACACGTGATTTCAGAGCCAGAGCCGGCCGGCCGTTTCTGACTGTGCTCCAGGCAAGCAAGGCTCTGAGGCTGCTTCCTCACCCATAAGGCAGGAGGATACTGAAACACACTTGACTGACTGAAGCGAAGATTAAGTGGACTCTGTCTGTACCCGTGCCCAGCACAGTGCCTGCCACACAGTAGGCATTCCGTCCATAGCAATCTAACAAAAACTGTCTGGTCTTAATAGGGTCACATATCAAAAGCTGTTGACACATGAAGTTTGGGGCTACAGAGAGCCAGTGGCAGCGGACAGCAAGACCCCCTCTAATAAATCCATATTCCCCTCCGTCCATCATCAGCTCTCCACTGAGGAGAACCCCCTCGATCTGGGGTGACTGCTCCATCAACGCCTTCTACTGCCAAACCATCCCAAGCTCTGCCTGCCAAGGGAAGGTGGCAGGGCAGGGAAGCAGAGGGACAAGGAGGGTGGTTCCACTCTGGGTTCCAGAAGCTCCTCCTACATGGGGATGAGGTTGTAGTGGCCCTTTCTCTGTATGGGGCTCACCTTGATATTTACAAGTTGCCTCAATCCAGTTTCACAAGAGAAAGCAAGGTATCTGCAAGAAGGTGGCAAAGCTTTTTTTTTTTTACTCTGAAAATACAGGAACAGAATTGAGGGTCCTGAGATGGAGTTTCATTTAATGAGTCTTAGAAAATCCTCAAAGGCCACCAAGGTAGAATGAATGAGAGGAGAGGGGCAACCAGTAGGGGAAGGTCTTGAGAGGGGTGCCAGCCTCTGAGGACCTGTCGGACTCCAGGGTCCACATGGATCTCTCTCTGGTGGTGCCCTGGGGGAAAGGGCAAGCGGAGCTGGGGGTGGGGGGTGGCCCTGCCATCCCCTGGGGTGTCCAAGATGTAGCTCAGTTCTGCACCCTTGCACCCACAGTTCAGGGCCCAGCAAAGTCAGGATTTCCCAAGTGAGTAACTCCTACTTTCACACCAAGAAGCTGAGGAGGTTAGAGAAAAGCAAGGAAGGGGTCTAGACACATAAGCCCTGCACCAGGGGAAAGACAGGCTGTGTGGGAGGCACCAATTCGGTTTCAGGTTTCAAAAGACCAGTCGTGGCAAATGATGGTTGATTCACTTCTCCCTGGCTTACACCCTCTTTCTACCCTGGCCATGGAGCATGGCAAAATATTAGCCACAGGCCCATAGACAAACCTCGGGTCACCTGCCCTTCCATTCTAACTCCCGCAGACTCCGCACAGAGGAAGTCCCGGGCCGAAGGCTGGCCGCTCAGGAAGGAGCCGGACAAGCTCTTTAACCTCGGGCCTGGCCAGGTGTTAGCCGAGCTGGGGAAGCGGGCGACGTGAGAGACAGGTGTGGCGGCAGGTGAGGCAGAGAAAGGCTCGCTGCGGCTCCGGGAGCCTGGCCCGTTCCCCCGGGCGCGGGCCCGGCGCCT